ATCTAAACCGGCTGATAGCTCAAGGTAACTTCCCCAAACAGTATTTTCGCGCCTTTCCTCCGCCAAACCTCCATAACTAATTTCTTGTGAAAATGGATGTAGTTGTTTCTTCCATTACGGCTTCACTCCGATTTGACGGCTCCCTCAACGTCGACCTGAATGAGTTCCAGACCAATTTGGTGCCCTATCCCCGCATACACTTCCCCCTGGTTGCCTACGCCCCAGTTGTCTCCGCGGCTAAAGCATCCCACGAATCCAACTCTGTTATGGAAGTGACCATTGCAAGGAGACGGAAGATCCTCGCTTGTAAGATTACACTAGCGAGTTGTTGTTATTTTGAGCATCTTGCGTCCAGATTTGCTCGAACTTAGACGTAATTGAGGTATTTGTACGGAGAAGCTACAACTTACAAAGTACCTTTTTCAGGAGTTAGTTACCTAGTTTCCTCTGATTCTGAAATAATCCTTCTTCAAACCTCATGATACTTAATTCTATTGGTATCCTGGGTACCCTTTTGTATGTATGTATGTATGTATGTATGTATGTATGTATGTATGTACCAGTCCCCACTCCCTGCGACCCTCCAGCCAATCACCGCCCTCCACCTCATCGAAAACAGGGTGCATGTCACCGCATGCGGTTACAGTTTACTGTTTACAGGCTGACTCTATATTTAGCCGCCCAGCCTTGGCCCCCCACCCCAATCTGTCAGGGATGACAGAGATGGCATGAAAGCCATGAGAGCCCCAAGCAGCATGGAGTCTTGGATGGTTGCATTAATTAAACCCTGCCCTGGTCTGTCTGTCGCCTCTCAAGACGACGAACTCAATCACTTTTTTTTTTTTTTTTTTTTTTTTTCACATTCAGGAAAGAATAATTCATCATCATCAAGAAAGCGTATGGATTCAGAAAATCTTTCCTGTGGGTTAAACCCCCCTTGCCTTCTTCTGCGAAGGAAGCATATTATCAAGTATGAGATGGTATTCTTCCGCAGAAAAAAATAATGACAAGGGCAGTCGGAGTCAACATCTGAAATCTCAAACGCACAGAGAAAAGAAAAGCAAAAAGGAGAGAAAACGATTTGAATGCAACAGCTCCCAAACGCAGATTGGCGCAAACATAAAACCTTGTCTGCGGGATTGAGTCGTGGAGTTTGTGGCGAATCCTGCCAGAACTACTCGTTATCCCATCCATGGGTTATTTAATTGGTCTTTAATTTCAGCCACAGAGGAGAAATCCATCGATGATATGATTGATAAAACTGTTCATCATTCAGATTGTTCGCCGCCGTTTCATTACCAGGAGACACGTTGGTCCAGCAAATTAATACGGTTTCATGTTTCAAGAGGGAAGCGTAGACGCGCGTCTTCTTCCTTCCTTTCCCTTTTCCTTTGCAGCATCGGAGATCTGCGTTGCCAAAGGGAGCATGATTATCACCATAGCTATTTTGTTTGGAACTGTCTGGAAGAGGACGTTAACTTTGGAGGGGGTCAATGGTCAATGCAGACTCAATAACGGTGCCGCAGTGGGGAATAACCAACTAGCAACAATCTATTAACTGATTGCCTATCAACTCGACGGGACAACAACGTCAATGAGTTGAACAAACTATTCCTCGATGTTTTTTCGCTTCGAAACTGCTGCTTCCCATCGCAATCTCTCAGACTAGATCTACAGAAGATGCATTCTAGGGGTTGAAGATATATACAATGCAGGTGTTTATACTTCCAGCATTCAAGAAAACAAAATTGCCTAATAATAATTATTAGCCTTGAACTTCATGTATTCTATAAACGATTTCTTTTTAGTGGGAAGTCGAGTTGACGTTATTATTCCACGTTTCAACACATCGAAAGCAATGCTCATTATATACCAAACGGATTCCGCCCTCCTATGTTTCCATTTGATAGATGTTTATTGACATAAATAGTGTCTGAATGTTTCACACTGCTACACATCTCTTACATCGTCCGCATGGCTATGGCATGTCATACACACCATGCCATGTTCGTGGAGAAAATTTTCCAACTTTAGAACCCTGGAAAGAACGGAGTAGTTTCAACTATGCATCTCATATATCATAGCATAACCAGAGAGGAAAAAATATTTAGAACATCATAGGCGATTGGGTTCCATTATCCAGGCGTCTTAACATATTAATCGAGCAGGGATTACTCCGTATGACTTAAGATCTTGTTAAATCTTTTTTACCCAGTTTAAGTTTGGGCCCAACCAAGGAGATCTCTTCCAAGGAAGAATCATGAGAAGGAGATAGGCGGATCTCGACAACGGTAACTCGACATGAAGTTTCTTCCAGTTGATTGTCTGTCGCTACATCTCTAGACCATGATAGAATTCCTCTTGATCCGCCGCATCATGCATGGGCTATGTGAGGTAGAAAGGTTAAGGACTACGGGGTAGAGAAGCATGAGAAGGTCTGGAAAGAAAATAAGACGGTCTGAGCCCAATTCATGGATGATACCCTTTCTTTTTCTTCTTCTTCTTCTTCTTCTTCTTCTTCTTTTCTATATATATATTTCTAAGAATTGTGATTTTGGTACGGCTGGGAATCCAGCTGGAAACCAGGAAGAAGAGAGAGGTTGTTGTTCCATGTTAAGACTTTCAATGCGTCCGGGAAGATGGAACCATTTCTTCTGCTCACAGGGGACTCATGAGTGTCAACGGGTAATCTAGCTTAACATTTCCCTTGGTAGAAGAAAATTTTCACTTCAGCAAACAACGCAACATCAGCTCGAATCAACAACGTTTCTCCCACGCCATAAAGCCAATCATGAATGCTTCCTCATCGCCAGTCGAAAACCAAAGAAGAGGGGGAAGGGGGAGGGGAAAGGGGGGAAAGCAAAAATCCTTTCCATGAACATTACAACACAATATTACAGTGGAACAGCGAAATACCAAGTCCAAGAATAGAAACGCACCTGCCGACCCATCACAGGCTGTATGTGGTAACTAATTGTGCCATTTCCCGCATCGGGCAAAGTTGAAAATGAGAAGGCGGGGACGTGAGATAGCGGGGAGGAGCCAGATCACCTGAGTGGTAATTTTAGTCTGTTTGATATATGAAACACTCCGGTTGTCTCGTGGGTGTGAGGATTTTAGCTAGGATACAAAAATTATATATGGGTTAGGGCGAGAGTGATGTCACTCTTCAGAAGACTACAGTTCAATGATATTTTAGGAGTAGAGTTATCCAGTTGAAGCGTCAAAAGACGGTATGTTTGTTGATGATATCTGAAATAAAAAGAACTATTTTTGTGCATTTTTGTTTCAAGCGTTTGTTTTGAAAACTTCACTATCTTCCCTGAAGACTCGACGACTCGAGCAACAACTATACTAATATTTGGCCCTCCATTTGAAACAAAAGCAATCAATCAGTATCCATCCATTTGACCGTTTTGCTTTTTATTTTCCCATTCCTCCCACTTCTCCCACTTCCGGCCTTTCCATGTGGATATTAATTTGTCGATTTCCACTTCTTGAAAGCCAAAATAAAATCACAATCAACCAATTTTATTACTAGGGCGCGTGGTTTTCCTCCCATAGTGGGTTTGGTTTTTTAAAAATAAAATGAGCTGCTCGGAACTTCACCATGCTACCGTGGTGGGGGGACAGAAATCAGAAAGAATAACAAGGGAAGCGGGGGGGGGGGAGGGGGAGGAACGCATCTTAGGCCTTACGTGTATCCCTCCGCTCCTGGGAGTCTTATTTTGCGTTGCAATGATACCAACGACCTGCTGAGCAGAAGAGAGGCATATATGTGAGTAAGAGTCGGGTCTGACTTTCAAGGGAGAGAGAAATAAGAGCAGGGTCACTTTTCCTCCTTCTAGACCTTTTCCTTTTTTCTCTTTTTCTAGAATTTAATATTAGCTAACCTTTTCTATAGCTCGCTAGTAAACTGTTGTTAGTGTTTACTCCAAATCGTACAGAGTATGGGAGGAAGAACTGTACAGGAGCCTTGGATGAATAACAGGACTAGTCCTCGCTCTCACTGACTTTTGTTCAAAGCAATGAGCTCGCAGTTGATGGGGTAATGATGGAAAGGTCACAGATATTGCCTATTTACATGGCTATAAATGCCCGCTTCCATTCCCATTCAATTTCTCTCCGTAGCCTGACATCATGACTTGGGAATTTGAATTTTCTGTCATGGAGCATAGGGGAAACAGTATTGGGTAGGTAGGAATATACTAGTCAGCGTTGCCAGGAAACCCAAAATCAAAATGAAAGTTTACAGAAAAAAGAATTCTGCGGTATTGAGGAAATTAACAATCATTACGAAGCATGTGATACGTGGCCGATTAAATCTGTGTTGGTTGATGGAGCAGGCCTGCAAGAAGAGCCTTTTGAGTATTTTCCTACCGTTCAATTGAGACTACTCTATTAGTTAGTTACTCCGGTTAGATAGACACTGCGCTTCAGTTGGATTGCCACTGTGTAACAATTTTCACCTAAACATAGAGTGATGCCTAAATACCTATTCAATAACATGGCTCCAGCAGAGTTTTTTTAAGGGTGCAATGACTCCGTCCTAAGGAAATTGCCTCCTGCCTGAGGAGATAGTTATGGCTTATTGCGGCATCACCCAAAAAAAATAAAAAATATAAAATAAAATAAAATAAAAACCGTGAGCAAACCCCGCCGCCGTCTGCGGAGCCGCTTCGGACTTTGGTAATAAATAGTACCGAGCTCTAACAGGATTCCACCTATACGTCTCCGCGGAAAAGGCGGATGGGGAATTATAACTCAATCGTGTCTAGGGTTGAGAGAATGCGACCTCACTCCGGGTTCGCTAACTTCGGTTTCTTTTATAGTTGCAATAACTATCATCACTAGTTGTTGGAATAGGTATCATTTCCTTAAACTCTAGCGTTGATAGACGGCCTGGACTTTTTTTTTACCAATATTCTGGAAAGAAAGGAGTCTTTTAAGAGGGGTTCACGATATGATATCGAGTAATAATCAATCCATAGGATGATGGTTTCTGGCGCTCTCACTTGTCGAGAGGAATAATGATGTCATTAATTGTATATGAGTTAGTCGCAGTTTGCGCCGAGCTCCTAAACCATGATTGGTCAAAATCAAACGCGCGATTAATAACTAGTTATACAAGGGGAAACCGCTAGAATTAATTGTGAAATTACTGGAAATAGCAGATCAGTGCAGAAATTTATTGATTTGACCACCACTTATAAAATTGTGCTCACTCATGTTAAATGCAAAACATTGGGTGAATGGTGCATTAGAATACCTAAATTCCTTAATCTATTATTTTTTCTTTTGGCAGTCCTTGTGGTTTCTACTGAGAGATGGTGAGGTGTGTATTCCTTTCCATCTTGATTGCTCTTTACGCATACTTGTTGGATAAAGTTGAATGCAAAGAGCAGCGGCTCTTCAAATCAATGAAAATTTTCACTGATGCACAATGGCAGCTCTTGAGCTCTCTTCAGACAGAAATAAAAGTTTTTAAATCCAACAGAGGACATGAAACAGCTGCTGGAGACCCACTGATTAGTTACTTACAGCACTAATGGCAACTAGTGTGACAGGTAGTTTTAGAAAAGCTGTCCGGGGTAAATCTTGCAGAGGAGTGGTGATAATGCTCCACCAGTCAACCTTTTGCACACAGTTGCGTTATTCCACGCATATCATTTGACATGGTGGCAGACAGCGGATGAGAGAAAGTGGGTATACTACGCACCATGAGGCTACGGTTTTGAGGAACGCACCCGTGGCTATATTCTGCTCCTGGCCCTGAGACGAGAACTACTTTTGAGCTTGCAGCTGTCTTTGAATACCAGCGGAGAGATAGTGCAAGCCGATTTTTCAGTGCCTGGTATTCCAGTGCCAGCCAATTTTCCAGGAGAGAGCAAGTATCTGGACAAAGTGAAAAAGAGGTGATTATCTCCTGCAGGGACTCGATGAGACGAGCCTGGTCAACGGTGAAACATAACTACCCGTTGACAATGAAAATCAGAAACCACGAAGAAAAAGAGTTATGTTTGACATTACACAAATTGGAAACTATGATGTGGAACTAGGATATCCATGGCTACAACGACACAACCCGGAAATGAACTGGCGAGGAGGGAAAAATAAGGGCTAGCAAAATGTGATGATCCCCGTGACCAGAAGCTCAGGAGGCCAGCAACCCTCTTGTATCCACTCGTCGACTGACGACAGCACCACAGACATGCCCAGTGTCAAGAGAAGCTTCATGTCCTTCCTCAGACGGTGTCTGGCCATTTGCGCTGAGGCATCTGAGCGAACAAATCAACCCGCACTTCAACTAATTCGAGCATGTTCTCTTGGCTGATGATGCCCATCATCAAGTCATTGTCTCAACACTATGAGCTCATCTTGGCCAAGTGTATCACAACCGGATCTAGGTTCAACGCAGTCAGTGGTCGGGGCAAATGTCAGATAAAACTCTTCAACAACTTTCCCGGGATCGCAGCCGTGTGTCTGAAGACCTGTGAGAACTGAGATGGGATCAGTCAATACGTTTGATCAGAATGGGCGGGGGCATCAACTTCGAGAAAAACATTGTGCAGTTCGCTCGGACTCCCCTGCTCAGCCTCTATACATCCCTCCCTCCCCACCCTTTGCGATCATAACCCCGACTTATGCCTTGTATATATGCTCAATTATTTTATTTTATTTGTTTATTTTTGGATTTCTCTTTTGGTTTCTAATGGTCGGGAGCTGGAACCAGTCACGGTATCAGCATCCGCTCGCACCATCAAATGGTGGAAATCTGTACAAGTTTGATATTTGTTGCCGCTGTTCTTGCCTTGTCTTGTTGCTTCGTAAGAGCTACCCTTGCCATGGCCGTTACCTGACTGTGTGGTCTGTATTTGTGTATGTAAGCCTCTAACATGAATCAGAATGAGCACAGCGCATTGCACCACCTTGTCATTATCTACTCTAGGGCTAATTATGTAGTAACTAGTTAGTTAACTAACTAGTTAACTAGTCAAAGACGGGAAAGCTTAATAACATTCATCTCTTGGGATCATATACACTTATCCGCAATCTTAAGCAACCCTTGAAACATAGTATAAGCTAGCATAGTGACTTACAGAACCCATCAATCAAATAAAAATAAAAATACTCAATTGAGCAGCCGAATTATCCCTCCCTTGATGACAGTTGACAAACAGATCAGTCCATATCAGCCCATTACCATCTCTTGTGCCCCGCGAGACCACAACAGAGCTCCACGCCATTTCCGCGATTATGCAACCCCCAGAGGTCCAGCACAGTATTCTTCCTTGAAATTTCATAGTAGACAACACTGATCTTGACCCAGATTTTGTGCAGCAAGCATTCCAAGATACCACAGGGCTAGCATAACTGTGAGACACGGCTGGGCTGCTGTCCCACGATTCTCCCAGAAAATTGGCATCAAAAGCTCTAAACGGCCGTTGCCATCTAGTCTTCGGATAGTGACCAGTTCATTGTCTGTAAGAACAAAGTCATACCAGGATCCGTGTTGCTTCATATAATGGTTCACCTGGCTGAGGACTTGACGAAACTTGGTTTGATCTTGGGCGGAACCCATTGCCATCGCCGTGCTCCACTTCCAGCTTGGCTTCACATCTCCAGGGGCTCTGTAGGGTCCGCTGCCGGAAGATCCAGCAATCATAGTAATGCTAGATCAGGTTTGAACCCGCCTGGAGTCAAAGCTGCTCCACCGCTATCCAATGAAAGGGGGGGGTAAATCCATTTAGCTGGTTGGCCCCTTGCAGTTGGTTGGAACCTGCCCGAAGAGTACGGCGAATTCATGTTGCTAACACAGCCGAGATGCGGTACCGAAAGGGATTTATAAGTTTATTGGTGTCAGCGGAGACACCGGGAAATGGTCTGGTGGAAGCACAGTTGCCACCAGATGGGCTTGGCACCTCTGATAGATAGTAGCGAGGTTACAGTTGATCCATAACCCAACGTATTGAATATCGCTGGCTCGGTGTGTAGTGTTTAAGGTGTTAAGTCCAGACTTTGAGGAGGGATAGTCGGTATGACAGGCGGGGCGTTCTGCAGGTACCTCATCAAAGAACTCAGGTTTGCCATTCTGAAGACAAATATATTCAATGAAGGAAGTTGTGTATAAATAACAAGCGCAGATTTTGAATTTCACCTTTAGCAGGGGTTAAGGTGTATAATGGGGACATGTATCGATGGACTCGTAGAGATAGAATTTAAGAGAAATTTTCTTGCGAATCAGGATAGTGGATGGAGCGAGTGAAAGCTGGGGATTGAGATGATTTTATATACAACTCCAAGTTGGGTCCTTCCTTCTGTTTGCTTCTGTATGCCCAGAGACAAAGGTGCTTGAATAAACAGAGTGGGGTTTGGGATATAACTGTGGACAGTGAGATGATGAAAGAAGATTGCTGCTAAGTATTTGAGAATTGAACTTCTTTCAGACAAACTTTGCAGCAATAAACAATGAATCATATATGTCTTGTCGAGTGGTATCTCTGTAGATGAAGTTTCAGAACACGTGTATACGCGTTGATCATGTTCAATATATAAATAATCTGCTCATTCATGACATATGAATGAACTTGAAAGGATGCCTCACAGCAATGAATGATTGAGCAGTATTAACCAATGATATTCCTGTGATTGAATAACTTCTAAGCCTGACGGCTAGCATAGGTGAGTATCAGTTGTTGTTGAGGGAGGGGGAAGAGGGGATTGGAAGTCCTGAAATGCATATGAACCGAAGCCATATGATGTATATAGGATTGGCCGATAATCACTGGGCGCATTTAATATAATAGTTAACTAATGCGCAACAAAGAGGGCGGCGTGTTATGCATGAATGAACCTGGAACAATGCCTTCATGGAAATGGTTGAGTAGTGGCGACTAAGGCATTACCTTTGTAAAATTGTCTGAAACGCTGCAGCTATAACTGTTGGCTGATTGCCAGTGAGATGGCAGGGCTAAATGGCGACAGTTTCTATTCGATGAGTGGCAGATACCTGGGTCAGAGATTCGAGCAACTATTGTATTTTCATCAGCAGCTGCCTCAACTTCTGAGCTCTGACACCCCTAGACCAAGTAGAGGTATCCCGTCATCTTCTTAACTGTAGTGGGTCTCCGTCTAGTGCGATCAGATGAACCAAACCCCCGCGGTTAGGTCTACCTTCCTTAGGTTTCTCATAGCACTGATATGTTTTATCGAAGTCCCCCTTGAGAAATTCGTGTTTCTGAAGTTGCAGAGATTCAATAAGATTAATTAAAAAGGAGAGTATAACTGTGTAGGAGTAGAGTACACAGACCATAAATTCAGCCATCTCAGCCATAAGGTTCTTCTCAAACACAATCCATTCCTTCTGTCTCTCTGTAAGCTCTCCATTAAATGTCTGTGCTCTTTCAAAATCTCTCCAAATTGCCCTTTCTGGATCCCCTTCCACAGTCATCGTATTCCTGGGATGAACATCATTGTCATATACTAGTGTGTCATGGATTGTGTTCAACCCATTAACAAAATTTTGCATCTTCCTTTCATTGTAACTGGCCCAATTCAGCTCTTTCATGTTAGGAATGTACTCTAAGAGAATAGCTGTGTGGGTGGATATTCATCATTGACAAACACTTTAAGATGTGGTAGGCACTGTGTCAGATTAATACCCCCAATCGTTACAAGTGAGTCCCATGGCTGTTCAGGGCCTTGACCATGGTGCTGTCGAAAGCATCAGGGAATACATCTGCAGGAGAGTCAAAACAGAGAGGAGTCTAACCCATCACTTTCATGACACAGGCCTTGCCTCGGATAACCACCAAGCATATCATGCAATAAGTCCCGTTTCAGTAGCTGCTCGTGAAAGATGATCTCAGTTACAATGACATCAGTAAACTCCATTGCGAGGTTTGAATATTGATCAAGATAAAGGAAGAGCTTTGTCATGTGCTAATGGATGCCGCAGTAAAAGGACTATTTAGCGGTCGTGACACAGGATCGGTAGCAAAGAACGCGCGAGAGGGTGCAAGTAGAGCTTTTATATGGGGTGGGAAATGGCTGGTTTCGCTGAAAGGGCTTAGGGCATGGTCACATGGGACACACCTACTGATGAGGTATACTAATAATTCGTAACTAGTTAGTTGGCTATCTTCTTTTCCTGACAAACTAACGAACTAACTAATTATTCCTGAGGCCTTTATAGGCACAGACAGTTTTGCCATGGGAGGTCACATTGACCGCCCAGACCTGCTACCCGACTGAAATCAGGACCGAAAGCTGAAGGTTCGTTAGGCAATCGGGGGCATGTCCTCGCCCATATTCAAACATGTACGGATAGAGTTTCAAAGGGCCAGAGGCGAAACAGGGGCCCTCGTTGCAGTTTGCCCGAGAACACGTCCCCCGGCAATGAGGTTCATCGGGACAGCACCTACTGGCAGAGCAAAGAACAATGGTTTTCCCTGAACAATATTGGCGGCAACCTAGTCGGAAGTTTCCCCAGTCCCATTGCGAATATTGTTAGAGAAATCCCCACAGGTCCAAGGATATTGCTACAGAGCAATGGCAACCTATTTCACACAACACAACGTCTCAATTGCCAGCTGAGTCAACTCTGTCAACTCTCTGCTAGCGGCATCCGGCACTGCATGCTGTGATCTGATCTACTAAGAATGGATTCTTGATTTTTGCCTATCAGTTTTTGCAGCTATACACGAGGATCATTTATCGACAGAGCATTTTGATGTGGCTGAAGGGTGACGTTGATGACTCCAAGCATACCACCATCAAGCTGTTTTTGTCAAAGTTGAATCAGGGGTCTATCAACTTGGGGCAGACAGGGATATTATCTGGACGCTGAATTCTTGGTCAGAGAGCTGGTAGTGATATATAGCGACCGACCTGCAAGAACTGGACATAATGGATTGGCTTGAGCATGTGAGGGCTCTCATTGTATTTTGCACGCCTCTCCCCATCACCCCAGGACTCACTGGAGAGGTGGAATGATGGAAAGATGTTCTGCTGGAATAAATTCTAAAATCCCTCAGAAAGATGAAATTATCACCTGTGGTGTAATCCATCTTTTTCTTTGCGTCACATGGACAAACTTGGAGATATTGACAGGAGTATGGAAAGCTTTCAAAGCGCATGAAAGTGATTGAGAAGAAATATCCCCAGTTTCTAATCCCGGGGACTGGCACCTGTCTCTTTCATGATGTGTGTGATCAGGTACAGTCTACAACATGGTGGTGGGGCCTCTACCAGCGTTTTTACAAAGATGATTTTCTACTGGTGGTAGACGTTCCCGGAAACCTGAAGGGAGAATTTATCAATACTTGAGTAAGTTCTATCATTCGATCCCATCGATATTCTCCATATTTCAAAACGTTGTCCCGGGCACAAATATCCTTCATCTCAAGTAACTTCGGGTAACCACTGATTGAGAGGGGACAGCCGTCTGTGGGTCGTATGTCTTCATCTCGTACGTTAATACCCCCCACCCCACTGAATACTTCATCCGAGCACCACCACCTAACGGTATGCAAAGAGAATGCGCATCAATGGGGACTTCCAATTCGATTTCATCAGCCGCCACTTCGCTTTGACCGGCACGCCTCTGCTGATCCTCGGACACCTGGGTGTGCGAGAAAAATACTTTTATAAAAATAATATAGACCTAGTTGCAAAGCCCCTGACCAAACAGCCCCATAGACTATCTCCATGTATTGCCTTCCCCAGCCCAAGACCAACAACATCACATAGGCCCAAGTTCCAACACAGCAAGCCAGGCCACGATCCCTTATTCCCCATGGTCATCCGCACCATTCCAACCACCCATCTCTAACCCCGTCAAGTCGGGCGGTGGACCCATTATCGTTCCTTAGCACATATATCACTCCATGCACAATATGGCCGCTTCCCCGTCACAAGCATCATTTCTTGCTGATTCCCATGCGTCCCGCACCCACACACACCCGCAAATGGGAGGTGTATCGGTTGTCAATTAGTCGGTGCCGTTTCGAAAGGGGTCACTGGGTCATCCTCATATTCATATGATAATTGCGCAACAGCATCCCGGGGATGAAATTGGGCAACAGTATAGGTGAATCCTTTCCCCTCCCCACTGAAAAAGAAAAAAAAAAAAAAAAAAAAAAAAAAAAAAAAAAAAGACATAAGAAATGAAAAGGAAGAGAGACGGACATAGGGCGAATAGTACCATACAAGATACCCCAGCGCCGCTATGTTAGACTGTTCGCCCAGCCGAGGGAGACCTCTGGGGAACCTTGCACGAACTTCCTACGTTGTGGATCTTGCAGTGGGAATTTACCAAACCCGTTGAAAAGGACCCACATCTTTCCCCACAAACCTTGTTTTTACCACCATTTTAGCGTCAAGATGAGCAGCGCTTAGTTTTTTTATTTTTTATTTTTATTTTTTTTTTGGGATGGGTGGCAAAAATACTGTAACAATGTCATGTGTTGCTGGAATTTGAAGGAAGTTTTCTATATAAACTGGTCAAAACCTGAAGGATCTTAAATTGACCTTGTCGTTGTCAATATTGTAAATATTTTATAGTATTCAATTCTTTAAAATTAAAGTTGAATACTTTTAACTATTATATATTAATTTTTTATGATATTTTTTTTGTTTACCTTCAAGCTAATAATTTTATACTTTATTAAAGTTAACTCTAAATTTTATACTGATATTCTGAGTTGTAAATGACAATCAAAGCTCTATAATAGCTTCTAGAAAATATTAAACCTATCTTAATAAAGAGTGAAACTTTAGCGGCGGAGTTAGCCCGCTTCATCATAGCTACGGATTAGTTATCTGAAGTGGTATCTTGGCGCTAGCTTTTGAAAACAGTTCTGTCTTTGGAATGGAAGGCAATTTTGGGAGCCGCGGTCAAGAAATTAACGTAGTTACACACATCTTATTCGCCAGCAAGATCGCCTTGACCAAGCATTTAGAAGACAGTCAATGTTTTTAACCAACCACTCAATCGTAGGCTCATTAGACGACCTAAATTTGTCGACCCATCTTCTTTGACCTCGACTTCTTCCATATATCGAAGGATATTCTCTATGTACTCGCCTGCACCGCTGAGTTTGAGAATGAGAGCAATTGCACGGTGAACTTTAAGTAGTCGAGAGGAATGTGGGTCAATAGAACAACTGGGGCTAAGGCTGAGCATACGAGTAATGGGAAGTAATCGTTCACAAAGAATAGGATTCCTTTCTGTCGACCTGATCGTGTACCGGTTGTTTGCCCCTTCTATAGGCTCGAAATATATTTGAAATTCACCGAGCAGTCGATGATAGTGATGGGTTAATGTGAGGGCATTTTTAGGACTGTCAACATCTTGTCCATCAAAAAGGCGGGCGATTCCGGGTTCTAACATAGCCAGGATTTGAAGCACATTCTTTTTCGAGTCACTCTAAGGGTCTATGTCAACAGGGCCGAGTGTGCTCATAATAGGATGTCCATACCAATTCCGTATTTCCTGAGTCCATTGAGGCCAATGATTGAGGAAGTATGTGAGCAACTTCTAGATACTCGAATTCACCAGGTTCATTTCGGAGGAGAGCTCTATCGTCGTCTTCACTTTCAATCCCATCCTGCTTTATTCGTCGCTGGGCTTCTTTCCTATCAAACCGATGGGACACGACACAACGATGATGATCGCGGATAAGACAACTCTGTCGGAGGATGGACACGCGTTGCGTTAAACTCTTTGGCGTGGACGCCTGCAGCGAGGAGAGTGAAAGGGGTGTCGGTTGGGATGTCTTCACCGATGAAGCCCTGACTGAATAATTTGAGTTAACCAGATCTATCAGCCATGGATTATATGTACTATAACCAACTTACGTGGAGAAAAGAAATTGTCAACCATGTAGTCAGCGAAAAGCTCGACAGCGCTCCGGATTTTGCTTTTCTTGTCTGCGTCAAAAGAGGAGAACCCATCGAGATAGGCTAGCACAAGAGAAATATCAGGCTCAACAGTATTTCCATCTACCAAATCCAGATGCTCATGGAGATGCACAAGGAAGAAGTTCAGGAAGGCATCTTTTGATTGCATATGCACATGCTCGAATGTTGCGTTGATTAAGCATCGCGGGCATGTAACCCCTCCGCCCCATTTGTTCTGGGCCATAATCCTCAATCAGCATCTTGAGAATGTCGCTTGCTGCCTTATTTTGTTGTAATGTTAAGGAGAATTGCTCTGAAAAATCCAGGAACCCTTCTAACGATTACTTGTGTCGATGTAAAACCATTGTTGATGGTTGCGCATCTGAATGAAATATTGCCTTTTTTGCTGTGGAAATATAACTAATTTAAAGATTAGGCCCCTTGCAACATAGACTCCTTTATGCTTGTCGACATGGCCTCTAGGTTTTATGCCAACTGGTGGAACATTTGAATACAAAGGCGTGAATATCAAGCGAGGTGAAAAATGCTCTATCTGTGGTTGGGTTTGTCCGGACGATGACTCCAAACAGTAACACCTGATCTTTTTACAGAGTGTGAAATGCAAGTCACCAAGCATCGGGACAAGGTCCCTGATATGAATACGTGCAGATGTCAAGAATCTCACATTTGATATGTTGATTGTAGGACTAGGCGTGTGGATTCGCCCCAGAGCTTCACTAAATCGTAACCAAAGCAAGTTAACGAACCTTATCCAAGCAGGGCACAAAGTGTGGAAGTCACGTGTTTAGAGTTTTATCTGTACGTAGTTCATTTGTCACCTTAAAAAGGTTGGGTACTTCCTGATTCAGCTTCCTTGCATGATCATCCTGTGGGATACATGCATGACAACTTACCCTGGACTAACTCTTGTGAAACTCTGATGGCTGTCCTGCACAACTACCCAGCCATCGCGACGGTTGTCTTGAATTGGAAGACCGGCATCTCCAAAGAACCCAGCCTTCCTCCAGTCAGCTGGGATGCTCTCAAGCGGGGTGCGGTTAAGCTGAAGCGCATGCAAAGCGAGGATCCAACATGTTCTATTACCTGCAACCCCCTATCTGAATATAACATGGGTGGCCTCCACCTAGTTCGGATTCTTGAATTTAATGACAACACGAGGTGGATTGTAAGCATACAATTGCATGAATGCAATTCCGAATCAATCAAACGTCTACTTCATGAAGTGCACACTCTTGCATTAATTCGCGAACGAACTTGTATCCCTGTGCCTCAAGTGTTTGGATATGAGCCGAGCCATGCGAATATTGTTTGGTGCTGCCTTCATGATTATGGAATTTATTCCAGGAAACACAGCAATGGATGCATTTGATAACTGACATGTTCGCAAGGGGGAGATTCCTCCTAACCAAAAGGCGAAGTTTTTTTCGTGCCATTGCGGGCATCCTGGTAGTTTGACTGCTCCTTGCTAAAATTCCAGGAGCTAACAGATAGACAGGTGGAAATGGCTTCTAAAAGATTTCCCAAAATTGGGATGATTGTAAAGCATGAAGACGGCACCTATGACATCGATCCAATTCCAGGTTTAGGAGGTCCATTTGAAAGAGCATCCCGCATGGTGGGATATTAGTCTCGTGATGAAAGGGTCCAACACAGACATCAGGTGTTAAGCTCAAAAGTGTTCATGACTTTTGTTTTCCACCAGCTTCCCTGCCAACTGTCGTTCTAGGTAAATTACAGGCTGCTCGTTCTTGTAACGCTCAAAATTCTCATGGATCCGTCGGTTCCGGTGCCGTTGCTTCTCGTTACGCAGCTCACGGATAGCCCTGTTGTACTCTGCCTTTGTTTCTGCTGTCCGATGGCGGAAAAGTTCCAGTTTCTCCAGCACCTTAGGGTTGGGCTCAGCGAGTGTTTCGTGATCAAGCTGCCGAAATGCGGTCTTTCATACCTTGTTGACACGTTCTGACTCAGCTTCACGATATTCCAACTCTCGCTTGTGCTTCTTGACTGTATCCTGCCTGTCAGAGACAACTGGGCGATAGTTGAGGGACCGTGATTCTTCTGAAAAGAGTTTATACAGTCGGTTGGGGTCAATTGATGCACCCATTGAGCAGGCAAATTGCACTAACTGTGTTTGTGAGCCTGTTTTCCGGACAATGCCATGCGCATCAACGTCAACATCTGCCTGATAATGTTTGACAAAGGAGTGAATATCTTAGTGCTGGAGCATGACGTTCTGGAGATTCGTCCGTAACCTCTTCTGTTCATGGGTTAGCCTGACGCAACAGGGATGCAAAGGGATTGGCAATACTCTCCACTGTTGTTGAAAGCCTTATCTCCAGCATATCGAAGATTATAGGGGTGGGCGACCTGCTCAAAGCCTGTGATCTCCCCGGCTCGCATCCGGGACCTTACCATGGATGCAGTCGTCCTCTGCTCCAAGCAAAATTTAAATCCGGTGGGGTGTTGGTTCCGTCTGTCAAACCACAAACTTATTCCAGTAATTCATCCTTTAGTAGCAACCGCTGCTGTCCCTTGCCATCCACCAATTTGGCGCTGTAGAGTTTTTCTGTAGAATCCAACACCTGTCCAGTTGTCCAAATCAACTTGAAACCTCCAATGTGAAAGAGCATAGACAGCAGGCAGATATGCGGACTGAGCACCAGGGTTGGATCAAAGATGACTTCCGGAATTTAAAACTCGTTCCCATCAATTCTGTCAGTCAAGCAGGCCGTGCCGCGATGATCAAGATCACATACAGTGCCTTGTCTCGAGGAATGTCTTCGTAAAACTTTGGTGTTAAGAAGATGAACATCGGGGGCATCACCGTCCACCGTCCGGATCTCGGATTAGGGTTAAGACAATTTCTCGATACCGAAGGTGGAGGAGTGTCAAGGGGTGGTTGGCGGTGATGGCTGCAAGCTGCAAGAAGAAAAGAAACTGAATGCGCTGCCAGCCATAAACAAATGTCATCTCAGTGATTGTGGAACAACACAAGCCAACTCAGCAAGATCTTCGATGTACATGATCATCTTCTTGGCCTTCCAACAAGTGCCAGCTCTTTTCCTTAACCCCCTGTGCAACAACCTACAAGAGATTAGTGGTGGTTCTTGTTTAGCTATCTGAAAAGAGCACTGTAAACACTCACATCTTCCACCTTGACAATAGTATCTTTGCTGAGTGCGGAAGCTGTTTCTTGTTTGAGGACAAGATGACACCACTTCCAAAATGTCTCAAGTGAACTTTTGCATTGGATGCCTGGACAGTATCGCCTGGGTTCCCGTCCGGACCAGGGAGTCGAGGAGTTCCCATAGGAGCGGAAGGTCTTAACCCGGAAGCACAGAAGGCAGAAAATGAAAAGGGGGCACCCCCTATCCTTATAGACGAACGCTGCATAGCTAACAGTTAGTTTGAATTCCTGGGACAGTCTTTGAATAAGTCAATCGATCATAATGCAAAGCACAGAAATTTAGATGATGATACGTTCGCTCAAAATTGGGTTTCAATTATAAGAGAAGAGAAAGAGAAGTAATATTTTTAACTTCTCACCACTGTTAGAAGTGATGATAACATTTTCAATTCCTTTTCAATGTTATCATCCTTTTGTGACATCATAATTGTTAATAATTAATTAATGCAAAAGGTGAGCGGGATTCTACATTGTATCCATCATTCCGTTGTTGGCAAGGGGAGTGAGTAAGCGGCGGCTTGAATATTCAATTCCTATCCAGACTTCGCTGGTTAAATTTTTTTACAGAGTAGTTAGTTAAACTACCTGGTTTGGATATTTATTCAGCTGGAAGAATTATGCGATGAATTGTTCATTGCATACTAAATTAATCGATCAACTGTCATAGAGGAAAGCGATAAGCGTATGTCGACTAGCCCTACTTATAGCACTATAAATTCTATCTCTTCCGGGAGAGATAGGCGGAATTGACATCCATGTGTATCATAAATGACGTCCATCAAGTGGGACATATGTTAGCGTGATAGTTGCAGGAAATAGCTGGACACTATTCTCATTCGGATATTGTTGGTGGAACAAGCTTTGTCAGGTTGATATAACTTTGACTCCATTTGGCCTATTGTAAAACCTATTGTTATTCTCTTCGGTTGGACATGAGAGTGGGGATAAAGCTCTCTATGGACGTTCGAACCCCGCGCGCCGTTTCATTAGGTCAGAACTGGAAGGGGAAAACAACCCCAGAGTTTGCGAAGAATATTCCCCAGTCTTGATAAGTATCCCATATTCCAAGGTCTGTCATGAGAGGGAGAAGATAGACGCAACAGGTCAGAGATGGTGGGTCTCGGAGCTGATGATGATGATGATGATGATATGCATTTCTCTTAATTCTAGCGCATGATATCTTGCGGGAGATTCCATTCGTCAACGCATTCTGCAAAGACACGTGGTTCTATCAATTGACAGTGCTCTGATCAGAATGATTGACAATGGCTTAAATGTCATGACGTGACGGTTCGCGGTTCGTCATTCTTGTGATGCTTTGCTAGCTGTTTGCTTGCTTACTGAGGGACAAAGGAGTAAAGGTGACAAACTCAACTCGGGCCGCGTTTTGGTTATACTGAAATGCATGTTGTGATGGATGTTGCCAACTTGAACAACTGAGGAGGCGATAGAGGGGGCAGGAGTTCAAAGAATTGACATTAAGTTGTGATGAATGGAAGTATGGGAAAATTGATTCGTTTTCCTATGGCGGATTTGGTTGGATGATGCGATGATTTTTCAAGCATGTTGACTCTCGTTGAGTGCTCTCCAACATGTATCTCTTCCCTCCGTAGCGCTGCATTTTCAACTGGCCTGTAGAAAGCCGTCTGGCATCTATTGCACTCTCACAACCTTAGTTACCCCTCCACACTCTCTCCGTGGATATCTAAAACATCATACCAAAACAGGTGTCAATTAATTTAACCTTGTTGTCCACCTCTCTTTCAATACATGCTCCTGCACAGAACCAGTCATGCAATTCACTCCGTATAATCAACCAAAATATATGGTTGACTTCCATCTCAACGGAGTCAAGTTAGCACATTGTACTTCCCTGACGTTGCAAAGAAGCAAGCAGGGAAAAAGCAAGCAAGAAAGAAAAAGCAAAAGTGGCGTGCTGTTCATGCGGATGAGATAATGGATTGCAGTCCCAGCCACCAATGGGCCATTGCCAAATCGATAAGGGAGGGGGCTGCTGGTTGCATCGAATCGTCGAAAATCGTCGAACACCTTGGCTTGAACCCAACCTGGATTCTTGTTGAGAAGCGGGAATTAATCCGGTCGCTTGTCAACCGAGCTGGATCTGTCTGGTTGTAAGACCCGCCGACCGGAATCATTGCCTCGAAGAAGAATGCTTTTTGCTACTTTCTTCGGAGTTTGTTGATGGAGACGAACAGTTAATGGTTGGGATCCTGCACCGACGTTAAGCAAGAAAAAAACCGAACAAGCCGGGAACTAGAAGAAAGGTAAAATGGAGGGGCTGGGGTTCCATGTTCTGCTGTTATTGCAAATCGTTCCAGATCAGCTAGCGCTTAGGTGGTTATTTAGGGTATTTTTAGCCCTCTGGGGCCTGAGGACAGGAAACCGGGGTTTCTCAGGGGCCAACGTCTAGGGATATTGGAGAGCGCAGGGCAGGGTGGAGATATCTATACGCACAGTATACGCAGTATACGGATGAGGAATTGGGATATGGGAATAGGTAGCTAGTTCGTTGCACGATACTCTGCAACTCTCAACGATTTGCAGGAGAATTTACGTCTGAAGAGTCCCCCTGAAACCATCCTTACATCAGAGAAACATCAGCGATGTTGAGAATGAGACCAACCGGGCGCCACAAAGATGGTGTAGATAACCGCCCGAGGGCAAATGGCCCCGTAGTGAGAGTAGTGCAAACGAGACTCAGCAGGTATTTCTGGAGTCGGACTAGGTCATAACTATTCTACATCCCTTGTTTCTGGCCCCAAATTCTCCGAGATAGACAGTCTCATCGCGGCATTTTCCATTTTCATGCTGGTTGTTGACAGAAGAGTAGATCTCTTGCGAGTTTTTACATTCCCCCCACTCCCTGTATACGGAGCAAATAGTATTATTCTCTAACATCTACTATTTACTTATTTACTAACATTTTTTTACTCTGTTTGCCTACACCATCTTTTTGCTGACCATTTACGATCGTCTGGTCTTATCTTGTGTGGATGTTCGTTCTCTTCACGACATGCTCTGACGACCTCGACCACCACTTTCACGATCCCAGCCAAGTTCTTCCGTCAGACCCGCGCAATGCCCCTTGCTGTGTCTTCCAACAACTCCAACTCCCATTCCACCTCCACTCTTACAGTGACGGAGCCGAAGCCGAATAACCCCAAAAATGACAGAGGATGGCTACTCTCTCGCAGAGAGACTGATCCTTTAACCAGCCAGCCCGCCGCGGTGCCGCATGCCGGCCGTCGTTGTTCAGATCCTGTTACCCGTTGTCTGTTAACTCCCAAATCCACGTCCAATCTGCCCGTCTTCACCAGCAGCAATTCCTATCCCATCAACCCCGCCAATCTCTCAGATCCCACCCTCGCTGCCTTTTCTCCGCGTAAGATAAATGCTCTAAAGCCTCCTCCACAGCCCACCCGAACCAGCATCCCTACTTTTCTGGTGCAGACACCCCGGACCCAGACTACCGTTGACTTGGACAAATTATACACTTTATCATCCACCGACACCACCGACACCACCAACACCACCAACACCACCAACACCACCAACCTCGTTTCCAGCACCCCTCCAACCGCCTCATCCTCTGCAGCCTCCTCTCATTCACTCAAATTACAAACCAGTCGTGAGCCCAAATCTCCCCATCAGAAAAGACTGCCTGCGTCTCGTAGCTCCTGTGGCATCGAAGCCTCGTCTGGCCCACCGCCCGCGCTTTCCACACAGCGTTCGCTCAGCCAAGCCAAATCCCCACACAAACCCACCCCAACCTCAATCAACCTCCATAGACCACGATCTTTTGGGGGCGCCAGGAAATCGAAATCGAACCTCCAACCTCCTCGCCCCGCCTCTGGCATTAATGCAGTCCTGAAATCACACTCCCCCTCTGTGGCTGCCTCTGAACCGCAACAGTCTGCATCTCTACGACCTGTTGGATCTAGTACAGCTCCGACGCGGGAAAAGGGCAAGATGTCAATCGCTGGGACGCGCCTGAGCGCAAGTTTCTTAGGGAGCAATAGTCGTGATCGCAGTAATCAGATGACAACTTCTGGAAACATGGACGGAAGTAGCAAGGAGTGTGTCGCGGAGGATGGTCGGTCTAAAACGGATGATGTCTTCTTAAATATTGCCAAGTCAAACTCCCTCCGTCGCAGTGCGACAACGAGGACCGAGAGGAAAAGGGTAGGCTTTGATTTTCATCTATGGATTCTTTTTCGAATTCTCGTTTTATAGTCCCTGCTGTCGACGTACTACTCCCCTTAAAAAATTTCCATGTGTCTAACTTTTTATATTCCAACCAGTCAAAATTTGGACTCTCTGGTCTATCTTCCCGTTCAAGTCGAGCCAATGAGGAGCCCCCTTCTCTTCAATCTTCCCGATACGACTCTGATCATGTTACACGCTTACTGTCTCAAGACAACCCTTCTTCAATAGGACGTGAATCTTCCTCAATTCGATCCCCTACTTCGACCCAGCACCCAATGGATGAGAACAGTCGCCTTCGATATTTTGGTGTCGGCACCAGGTCATCTATTGGGCTTCCTGGGAGTAGATTGGCTCGTACAACCCGCGAAACATCCCCCGAAACCCTTTCTAATTACACTTCCGAAAGGCGAGGTTCAATTGCTCAGGATCAAGTCCAAGGTCAACTGCGGACGTATCGACAATCAAATCTATCTACCATGCGAACTACCCAGAACTCCTCCGGTGTGGATGCAGCTGCTGAGCGGTCGAGACTGGAGGCAGAAAAATCAAGATTGGATGGGACGGAATCTACATTATCTACTACGGCACCTTCTACCGTCTGGGATGAATTGGACGATTTGAAGTCGAGAATTCGTAAATTGGAACTAACAGGAAAACTACCACCTTCTTCTGCTGCTGCAATGTCTAGTGTCTCTGGTGAAAGACCCCGTACTGCGACGACAACAGCGACAACTCTTTCTTCTTCCCCCAAACATGGGCGGAAAATGACATCTCCAGCACCAGAACCAGACGCTGCTGCTGTGGCTGACCAAATTCACCCTTTACTTCACACTGCTTTAGCGAAAGCCAAACCCACACTGAATGCAGATGTATATCGTGCTCTTGAAACAACTGCCGCCGATGCTCTAACTCTGGCCACCATCCTTAGCTCAAACGGTCCGCAACATGGTAGTGGGATGTCTGTTGTTAACGGGGCAGGTATTTCGGATCGGCAGATGCGACGAAAGGCGGATAGTTTGTGTAGAGGATTAACAGAGCTCTGTTTAGCATTGTCGGATGAACAGCTGGCTTCCTCGTCGAATAATAAACCAGGTAGTCGAGATGCCGCATCTAACCAATACCAGACAGATAGTATGATGGATAGGGAGTCGATAACGCCAAACCTCGCATATCGCCGTAGCGCAAGTCATGAACCCGAGGAGTTTCAACGCGGTCAGACCTCCTCATCGCGATTAGCTGCCGGTAGCCGTTTAGAGTCACGGCGTGCAAGCTTGCTTAGCCTGAATACAGGAACTACTTCTATTCGAAACACCCAGGAAAATACAAATCCGCTTTCAACTCCCACCCATTCCACCCCACCAAGCCGGCTCAACCGCGCCTCCACCATTCTTCGGAACCGACGACTTCAAGACGAAGACGATCTTGATGACAAAACCCTTCGTCCGATTTCCAGAGCCATGACTGAAATCAATACAGTGATATCTCGCTATTCACCTCGCGACCGGCGACTTTCACGTGAGTATACCTCCAACCACCCTCTCCCGGATCAACAACAGGCGTCCCAACAGTTACAACTGCAGCAACAGCAGACCGGCCAACCCCGTTCAACCACTCAGGGCCAAATGTCTATTCCTCTTCGTAGGAATTATGATTCGCCTGGCTCAAACCTGCCAGCTACGATTCCCACGAATATACAGCCTGGATTCCGTAGATACGCTGCAGCCTCTCTAAATACTGGCACCTCATCAGTCGAAAATTCATTGAACGAAAAGGGGACAGAAGCTTTTGGTTCGGGAATCAAGAACACCGGTTTCCTCCAATTACGGCCCAGAACTAACAGCATGGGAACACGGAGGGTGGATGTTAGACAGCGTACGTTTAGCGCAGCATCTGATGCTGGCAATGCTGGGGACGAATTTGATTGATTGAGAATCAATATGAGAACTGTTTTGAGCTGTGCCAGTCAATGGCGTTTAGCGTTCATTGCGTTCTGTTCCTTTATGCTGCATCATTTTATTGGAGTACTGAAGAGCCCTTTTTATGTAGTATCCATCCCATTCCCTACCTAACGCTTTGTTTTAACTTGATTCTTACCACTTATTTTTTTTTCTTCGATGTGCACATGCAAATGCTGATGACTTTGCTGCTTTTTTCATTTTTTACTTGTTTCAATTTTTATCTCATTTCTTCTTCTCGTGGATGGATCGCTTCTGGAACGAAGAACCAGCGCCAGGCATGATGACGAATAACTCTACTTGCATGCAGCTTCGACGACACACTCTCTTTCTCCATATTTTTCATGATTATCAGAGCAAAGGGATGATGCACTAACAGTTGAAAATGCCAACGCTCAGACATGAACTCTCTCGAGTATAGATGTCTGTCGATAGAGATAGATAGGTCCTGCAACGAGTTGGAGTTTTCCATTTTTTTTTTCTCTCATACACACCCTATGGGATGCGCTTTGTTGCGTTTTCTCTCGGGAAACTTCCATTTTTCGAGGCTGGTTTTCTATCTTCAATTCCCATGCATATTTTCAATTTAACACCATATTCCTTTACTCTACGTTCTTCAACATATTTTCTTTCTTTTACGATTTACAATCTCTCTATTTCTATTCCTGTATTGTCATTCACAGCACTCACCATGTTCGCCTCCGTGCCCGAATTCGTAAACCACACCATTTCCACCCCTGCCTCCCCAAAGCGCTGGCAGACGCCCGCCGCAGACGCGCTCTCATGCACACCTGATGCCGCCAAAGTTCGAACCGCAGGCCATCGCGGCGGATACGGCGTTGGCGATGCGCGTGCTGGAGTGGTCGAGGAGTCCAGCACTGTACTCCTCGCACAAGGAAGTCGGTAGAGGAGTCACCGACCAGAGAAGTGACAGTTCCATCTTTTCCGGAGGCAATGGTGAGTGGGAATGGGGTGGAGAAGATGGAGGTGTGGGTATTTCCGCCAGGCATATCCTTGAGCGTCTCTTGATGAGCGGCCTGAGATTGGGGAATGCGGGATTTGTAGCGAGCGTGTGGGCCGCAGAGAGGTGGGATGTTAGGGGGTTAGTCATTTTACGAGGTTTCTCTCCTCTGAAGTTGTCTGGGTGATATATGTACTTTTCCTGTTCTTTTATAGATGCCTTTGAATTGTGTAATGAACAGTACATTGTTGTTGTATTGTTCGCGGGTAGAAATCAGAGCATTGTTATTTTTGATCTTTTACCTTGCCGAATGACAGAGGGGTCTAACGCGATGTAGAAAACGAGCGGGAAAGGTGAAGAAGATACGCCGGTTATGGGCGCCAAGTGGAGAAGAATGCGATGATTAAAAAAATGATTGGACAGGTTCGAATTGTGTATTCTGTAACATATCATATTATTTTTTGTATAGTGGAAAACTGGGGAGCCGGAAGAGAGTCCATTTTCACTCTGGGATATTGGCTCATAATACTCATGATATAACATTTCAATTAGTGAATATTGTCTAGGTTTTCCCGATAGAATGATAGAATATCGCGGGACGCAGGGGTGTGTCACTGCTGGGGACATGCGTTACAGAACATGTTTCTCTGCATAGTGTAGAGAGCTTCAAACATAATCAAGGACGATTATCGGGTTAGCATTTGGCGCAGCATCTAAGATAAGGTATTAAAATAATACTTAGACTCCATTTCCAGCCAAAGTTGAGCGCATCAAATGGAGATCCAGCTCCAGCAGTTGCTCTGCTAATCACTCAACCGTCTCATCGTTTTTTATATTCACTTCGAAATTCAGTTTCAGCACGAAAAATTCATCAAAGGCCAGTTCATTTAGTTTCGCTTCTTGATGAACCCATTAGCTCTTCGGGCTAGGAGGGGAAGAACATGTTTGAACCTGGGATACATCCACTGCGCCTAGTATGTTGGCTTGTTCATCGCAGTATTTTGCCATCAACGTGTCTTTTGAGGATAGACCCGGTGGATTATGAGTTGTCCAGTGTATGTCGACAGAGCGGAATTTCTAGATATTAGGCCGGGGGTGGACCGTAGTCCGTCAGTCTCTGACGTGTTCAAGGGACACAGACGACGTTGGACGGAGAGCTTGCAAAAGGGCTGACAGCACTCACAACTGTCATTGTTGAGTGGTGGTTTTCCGATTTGCTCTTTATCGCGACCAAATTGAAGAAATCCTACACACAAAATTAATGCTTGCTTGAGGCTGAAAAAGAGATTGGAAGCTGTATGTTTTTAATTGGAAGCCCAAGTTATTCAGAGAATATCCAGTCCGCATGGATAGAGGGTGGTTGTGCAAGCGTTACTAACCTGGCACTTTGTGTACGTTTTAAAATAGAAGGTTTTTGTAACACCCATCTTCTCTCCATCGAGAGTCCAATTACTGCCCAGCAATGACTTGGTATCTGCTGCCAATTGGCTGAGCTCCTCAGGCGTTGAGGAAGCGTATTTGGGCTGGACGGTTGAGGTCTTGCTCACGTTCACCATGCTGAAGTAACGCGGTCGCGGTCGATAGACGGAGATTGCACCGGAGTGAGAAAGCGTATACACATATCGAACACTACGGGATATCATCGTATCTCCAAGTGATTGAAATCTTTGAATATGTGAGGGGAGGGGAGTTTGTGTCTTGGTTTAGATTGGATATTTGACATGGGTGCGAGAAGGGCACTGGGCTTCGATCAGTGACTTGATTTATCTAAGTGGCGGCGGCGGAAACTTTCCATCAAAAACATCCTCGATGGTCTAGTGGTCATGATTTCCGCTTGTCAGCAATGTTCAAGCGCGGGAGACCAGGGTTCGATTCCCTGTCGGGGAGGATATATCTGTTTTTATATCAATACTCTATATATTGAGATGTTTATTCCCACGTAATTGTTGTTTTCTTCAACTAATCCACCGTGCAACTTACTGCTGATATATACTCCTTCTCATCGTACTTCCAATCCTGCTGCTCACCCTCTGCCATCGTCGGCAGATACGGAGGTTAAATGCAATCAATCCCAACGGACCGGAGCCGTGGGGGGGCAAAGCTTGGCATGCCACTGTGGAAATTACCAAGAATCCGTGCGATGGACATTGGTATAATTGCCTGTGGCCAAGTGGAATGAGCTGCAAAATCCACAGGCGAATAAAAAATATATCACCAAGATACAAATTTCCGAACCGTGTGCAGACATGATTGTGTGCTGCCACACACAGATTCACTCCACAACATGCCACTGCAGGGTTGTTTTCAGCAGCACAATGCACTGACAGAGGTCTGTGTGCCGGAAGACGACTTGATAAACAGAACCGCAGTGGTCGCAAAAGGCACTGAGTCATCCCAACCTCCAGGCCTACGTAATAGAGAGACAGGCAGGATGCCGCTGGTGTTTGAGAAACAGCCTATGTCTCTCTGGGCGCATCTAAACTTGTGAATGCCCCTTATTGTGGGAATGGGCCCGGAGCGCCTTCATTCGACATCGTTTTTACTATCTGTATTGCCATGCCTATGGCAACTCGATCAGCTGTTGGGGTGTAGATACAGGCGCGGCTATGCACTAAGCTGTGGTAAAGCATTGCTCATCATTGACTGGGTTCATTGTCATGAGCTTGAGCCTGATCATCTTTGCACTTTTGTGGCTCAACACAGCGGCCCCCCCTCCCCCCC